TTTTTAGATTTTATTGGACAAGATGAATTGAAAAATAAATTTCAAAAAATAGTTCAAGAAAAATTTAAAAAGCTTTTTATTTTTTAAATTCATTTACATAAGATGGACAGTATAAAAGTTTAACATATGCCTATTTTGAGAATAAGGTTAAAAATAGCTTATTAAATTTTTAGTTTTTTTAGTCACATCAACTCATTATTTTTTTTTTATGATTTTCAAAAAAAAATCAAAAAGTTAACTTTTAACCTGTTTTCCAAAATAATTCATAATTTAATATATATATATATATATATATTTTTTGGATGATCTAAATAGGTGTACTTTTTGACTTTTTACGAAAAGATGTGCAGAAAAATATAGAGGTGATGTAACTCAAAAAAGATAAAAAGATAAAAAAATGTGCTTATATAACACACTCCAAACAATAAAAAATTCAAAAAAATAAGTGAACCCCACCAACGTTGATCAAATCAAAATGGTCGTCCAAGTCATCTATACATCGCTATGATTAGGATTTAATCATGTTTATATCTCAATATGAGAGAAGTTGATGTAACAAATGGTTTGGAAAAAACATATTTTTCTTAAATTTTGGTCTAATTTTTAGGTGGGACCCATGCGCCAAGGTTGGCGGGTCCATGTGGTAACGCGTTCTTTGCCACGTAATGAGTCACGATGTATATTTGATTTCTCAAAACTATTATCGGGTGAATGAAAAATTAAAACTAAAGTGAGCTCCATGAAAATGTTGTGTTTGGTGAAATTTCCATAAAGATCGGAGTTAAGGATTGTCCCACATTGTTTTGGTAGGCAAACTTGATATGGGTTTATAAGCCTTAGGTTTACAACTCAGGGAGAGCCCCAAGGAGTATCCAAGTTTTGTGGAAATGTGAGGTTATGGGTAAAGTGGGGTAGACCTACAACACACGCGCACCTCACGGTCGGGCTGGGCTTGGGTGTGGGTGTGTGGTATGAGGTTGGGTTAGATTTGTCTGGCCCAATGCTTATTTTTTTTGGCCAAATACATTTGAATTTTATTTTTCTAAAATTAAATTCTTACCATTTGGAATTTGAATTTCGATTTGAAATTCAAAACTAATTTGTTTGGTCCAATGCACCTATTCCTCTTCACTGAACAGATTTTATCTATTCAAATTGAAACCCGAACAGGTACTGTATATGTTCATATCTGTCCGAACAGGTTTCTATCTGTTCAACACTATTTTGAACAAGTTTTTACCTGTTAAAACCTGTTCTGAAAAGCCACAAGTTCTCCTATAAATAGTCAGTCCCTCATTTGGATTTTGCACTCAATTTTTTCGTTCTTGCTTCTATTATTACTCTCTGTATTTTACTGCATTAATTTTCCTGTGAGCAAGTGTATAAACATAAAGTGTGTTCGTTGTGCAAATAGTTTGTAGTGTTACTACTGTTCGTTGTAGATCATTTCATCCTGAGAGATAGATGCCCATAATCTGTAAGCACCCTAGAGAGGACAAATCTGTCTTGAGGAAACAGTGTTAAACACTGGACTTGATTATTCTAAGAAAATATTTTCTATAAGTATTTTCTTGTTTTTATTTTGTTTTCTTCCTCCTACTCTATTTCCATTTTCTATTTGGTTTCTGTAATTAAACAGATTTTGGAAAAACTTTCTTTTAATTTATTCCTTGTGTGTTCTGTTTGTTATCAAATACACAAAAAAAATTTAATTTTAATACAGTGAAGATTGTTCAATAGTTGAGAGACTTATGAAACCCACTATAAGTCCCGTTTTGATAATCTGAATCGTTCACTTTTAAGACTTGTTGAGTAAAATATTCTTGTAAAAAATTAAGATGATCGAATATCGATAACTATTTATTTTAATTAGATTTTTATTATAAAATTTAAATATTTATTTTTAAAATGAGATTAGTTCATTTTTACCCCTATAGTTTGTCACGATTTTCAATGACCCCTAGACTACTTTTATTTTCACGCGTACCCTTATACTATTTAAGTTCCTATCAATTTTGCCCCTGCCGTCATATTTGAAAACAAAAAAGTCAAAAAAAATTACATTTTGACCCCAAATTTCAAAAGAAAGATGCAGACCCATCCTTTTCCTACCAACAAACCACCACCAGCAACCACCACATCAAGCCCTTTTATCTAGTTCGTCATAACTCCGTTTTGTCTCATTTTTATGTTGTTGGATTCAACTCACGGTCTAGTTTTTGTATCACATCTCACACGTCTCATTTTTTTTCTCTTTTTGCATACTATCGGAGCTTCGAAAGTCAATAATAATAATAATAAATACTTTTCTTCTCGTTTTTGACTTTTATTCGAGCCATCTTTCGGACTTCATATCTTTCTCGATTTTTCACGATTCTATTTCATTCTTTCGCCATTCTTTTCACCCCATTTCCTACTTTGCCCTACACTACCTTGCTTTTTCACTTATTCGTGTAATGAGTGGTTTTGGTATGCTGAAGTTGGCCGAAAACTAATTTCAAAAATTTCAAAAGAGAAAACAAACACAACCCATAAGCTGGAGGATAAGAAAAAAGAAATCAAGAGGGACAAATAGGGATTCATATGTATGCACATGGAAGAAACCATTGGTAGCAGTGTCTAGAACTTTAAAGGGCCGAGTCTCCGTGATGAATTGGCAATGGTGATAGATGGCTTTGGAATGAGGAACTCTTAGTACATATCCACAAAAAAGTTGTCAACAATGTCAAGGTAAACTGGACACGTAAGGCGCGAGTAATTGTGGAGCACCTCTTCTATGTCCAACACATGGTCCACATCATTCATATCCATCATCTCTAACTCTCTTATCTTCTCCGCCAACATATAACCCCCTCCTCCTCCATTGCCAATCTGTGAACATGCCTCTTGTCTTCTACTTTGACCGATGCTTCCTATTTTCTTCTCTTCATTTTCCTTCACTTTGCATTCTCTCTTCAAAGCATTCCCGTCTTCAAATTTCGTGAAGCTTCCACTAGTAGTATTTGCCTTATTCATCAGCTCTTTGCTTTTCATCGCCTTGTCATTATCAGATTGCCACTGCTTAGAGAAGTCCCTATTGAACTGATCTAATTGCTACAAGTTTGGATTGCCATTGCCGCCATATAAAGGATTGAGAGGACGGGTTTTGGGTAGCTTTTTGTATCTTTCAAAGAAAAATGACTTAAGGTTTTGGAGGGTTTTGTGAAGGAACATCTTGGTCTTGTGAAAAGTGTTTCTTAATAGCATTTTGTGGATTCCAGTGGTGTTTGTTTACAAGGAATATTGTGTGTGTCTCTATTTGCCTTTTAAGTTTTCAGTAGCAATAGATAACTGCTCCAGCTTGTTTGGCTTCTTATTCTCCAGAGATGTTGCTTCCAATATACAGCTAAGAGAGACAGAGACTGTTAAAGTTTCTCTCACTTTTCTTCAGATTAAAGGCAATGGATTTTAAAGGGACAATTTGTGTATAAGTGAAAAAGAAAAAAAAGAATGAGGAAGATGGAGAAGAAAGAAACAAAAAATGAATCTTGTGAAATTTTAGAAATTAGTTTTCGGACAATTTTCGGCATACCAAAACCGCCCATTACACAAAGAAGTGAGAAATCAAGGTAGTGTAGGGCAAAGTAGGAAGTAAGGTGAAGAGAATGGCGAAAGAATGAAGTAGAACCGTGAAGAATTGAGAAAGATATGAAGTCCGAATGATGGCTCGAAGAAAAGTCCAAAATGAGAAGAAAAAGTCTTTTTATTTTTTTTTTATTGACTTTCGGAGCTTTGGTAGCATGGCAAAAGAGAAAGAACGAGACGTGTGAGATGTGATACAAAAACTAAACCGTGAGTTAAATCCAACGACATAAAAATGAGGCAAAACGGATTTATGACGAAAGAGATAGAAGGGCTTGAAGTGTTGGTTACTGGTAGGAAAATGGTAGGTCTGCACATTTTTTTTTGAAATTTGGAGCTAAAATGTAATTTTTTTTAACTTTTTCCGTTTCAAATTTGGCGATAAGGGCAAAATTGATAGGAACTTAAATAATATAGGCGTACGCGTGAAAATAAGAGTAATTTGAGGGGTTATTGAAAATCGTGACAAAGTACAGGGGTAAAAATAAAATAATCTCTTTTAAAATCATATTTATGATTATTTTTTAAAAATTAATATAATTTAAAACAATTTAAATCATCTAATCAATTGTAAAATAGAGCTATTAGAGCATCTCCAATGATAATAGCCATTTTACCTATCTAAACATTACTATAAAGTATACATTTTATTTTGCCTATCAATTATTTTATATTTCCACTCCAACTATGCTTTTTATTTTACCTATTCATTCAAGGGTTCTGTTTAAGTGTGCAACCCTCTTAAGGTTGCACACCATATGCAACCCAATTGTTAGCCGTTAGATTACAATAATTGATCAAGACCATTGAATTGTTTAATTGTGAAAAAGCTGAAATCGGGGCAACTAGTTAATGCTTGTATTTGTATGATTGCATCCCACTCACTCTCTGTATTTCGTCCCTATCTCTTTCTGTTCTCCTCTCTGTGTAAGGTTGGGTCAGTGTAACTATTGATTTCCATTAACAGCGAGAAGCCCCTGCCGGGTTCGTTCCATTGACGAAGCTCTGTAGGGAACAGTATAACGGGCGATTTTCAACAACAACGTAACTACAAGCCTGTGTTGGTTCCATTGCTGAAGTGAAGCCTTTTTCTCCAACTAGATATGAGGTATGGAGCTGTCTCCCTCTCTCTGTCTCCCTCTCTGTCTCTCTGGCCTCTTCACTTCAGCTACTTTCCGTCAACTAAACCCCCATCCTAACTTCAACCGCTCTATGCTTCGCTCAAACGGAAACCCCTCCATTGGCAACTAACCTTTCTCTTTCTCAAGCGAGTGTTTGTGTTTGCACAAACAACTAAACCATGTGAAAATGTCATGTTTGTGTTTGTGTTAACATTTTTCGGTTATCAAGTAATTGTTTGTAGTAATGTCATGTGCAGTATGGCCCGAGCGGAAGTTCAAAGGGAAGGTGATGATTATGACATTCCAAATGAAGCAGATGACATTCGTTTGATGAATGAAAGTCAGGTGGAACCTTATTATGGTTGCGAAGTTGGTTCGAGCAATGAAGAAGCAACCAACATGAACGTTGAAGATGGCGGAGCCGATGTGATAAAAGAAATGGTTGACGATGCTCATGGCAATGACATGGTTGGTGATGTTGAATGTGCTATTCTGGAACAGAAATTTGATTCGGTCAAAGATGGAGAAGCTTTCTACAATGCGTATGCTAAAGCCAAGGGATTTGGTATACGAAAATCCAGATTTAACACAAATAAAGAGGGAAAGGTCGTTAGTAGGCTATGGTTGTGTTTAAGGGAAGATCAGAGATTACCAATATACTTGGACGGTGTTGCTGAGAAGAGTAGAGCTCCCAAGGCACTAACAAGAGTAGGTTGCAAAGCCCAATTTCGCATACGGTACGATGCAGATGCTGGTGAAGGGGAAAAGTATGTTGTGACTCACTTCGTCACAGACCACAACCATGAATTGGCGGAACAACACTGTGTAATATATCTGAGGTCACATTGCAGTTTAAACAGCGTTGACAAAGCTCAAGCAATGGCTATGCGCAATGTCGGTGTGAAGACTAGCCAAATCATGGACTATATGATAAATCAATCCGGGTCTTATGAGAATGTTGGTTTCGTCCGTACGGATCTGTACAACCATATTCAAGCCAAACGTAGAGCAGAAGTTGAGGATGGTGATGCGCAAGGTGCGTTGGTTTACCTATGTGCAAAACTTGTTGTTGATGCACGTTTTTTTTACAAGTATGATGTGTGTAACGATAACAAGTTACAAAATCTGTTCTGGGCAGATTCGAAATCGCGGGCCGACTACGCAAAGTTTGGTGATGTGTTGATATTTGACTCAACTTACAGAACCAATGCATACAAGAAGCCTTTTGTCATGTTGGCTGGTGTGACTAGCCACTTTAGGACCACGATATTTGCATGTGTTTTGCTAGCTAATGAGACAATTGAGACATACACATGGGTTTTGGAAACATTTATGGAGGCGATGGGCAATAAAGCACCTGTGTCCGTACTGACAGATGGGGATAAGTCGATGCGAGAGGCAATCAGAAGAGTATTTCCAGACGCAAGACATCGATTATGTAATTGGCATCTTGGGAAAAATGTTGTTTCAAATGTTCACATAAGTGGCTTTGCACATGCTTTCAAGCAGTGCATGGACATGGAAACGGACAAGACAAAGTTTGAGCATGGCTAGACGACAATGGTCGAAAAATTTGGACTTTAAACCAACAGTTGGGTGTTGGATACATATGAGAAGCGTCATATGTGGGCTGAGGCATATATGCATGGACATTTCTTTGCTAGGATGAAAAGCACTCAGCGCTCGGAGTGTATGAATGCTTATTTCAATCCCTTACACCAACACAAATTGAAGCTATATGAATTTGTTAGGCACGATGATCGGGCTCTTGCAAGGATAAGGTATAACGAGGCTGGAGATGATGCTGAAACAAATAACACTTTTCCGGTATTGATTACTCCATTGCGAGATATAGAGAGACATGGAGCTGAGCTATTCACTCGAAATATATTTACAATGTTCCGTGATGAAATCTTAGAAGAGGGGAAGTTGAATGTCAAGGACGTGTTTCCTTTGCCGGATGGTCAGAAATGCTATTATATTCATAAGTACAAAGTGAAGGACAGATCATGGATAGTAACACACAATCCAGTGGATGCTGCAATGAGATGTTCTTGCATGAAGTTTGAGTCGTTGGGGCTACCTTGTTGTCACATGATATGTGTTATGAAAGCCAAAAATTTAACGCAAATTCTCCCAACTTGTGTGCTGCATAGATGGACAAGGGCTGCAAGCAAGGATGGCCAGCAATGGCCTCAACCCTCAATTGATAGCACTACAACACAGACGGCCCGGTATGGGATATTGAGTTCTTCCTACAACGAAATGTGTTTCTTTGCCTCACAATCAACGGAAGGTTTCAAAGAGGCTAGGGATGCATGTCTTCCGATGACGAGCCGGATGAAGGAGTTATATGAGAGGAATCTGAACGATGGGAATGGAGACAAAGGGAAACATTCATTTCCTCGACAATTTGGAGTAGAAGATCCTGATATTGTGAAGACAAAAGGGAACTCGGGACGGGCCTCGTCCAACTGTCGAAGACCAAGAAAATGTAGGAATTGCAAATGCATTGGGCACACAAAGCGAACGTGTCCTAAGGTTCGGTTTAGCCGAACAGTGGGTACTAACTGAGATGCAGATACACCCCACATAACTGAGCGTGAGTACAATGCGGAGTCATTGCCCGTTCGCTGCAAAACTGGGTTGGTGGATCCAAGTACACCGCACATTAAGCAACGGCGACTATTTTTCGATACTTCTCCTGATTCCAAGCAGCCTGCGGGCCAATACGGTAGTGTTGAAGCATCAGTGTGCAAAAATGATTCGACCACAATTGATGAGGTGAATCAGGTAATTGTATAATTTGTATGATTTACTTATTCCCTTAATTTATTAGGTAGACAGTACTAGCTATTGAAAACACATGGAAATAATGTATGTAGTTTTCATTTTGCACGGATTGTTGTACGTAACGTGTAAATCATTGGTTACGTACAATGCCAGGAAATGCACAACGTTACCTATGTACAAGGCCACGAGTTGTAAATTTCTCATATTGTTTAGAGTGAAGTTGTCATTTGTGTTTGTAGTGACTTGTCATTTTGAAAACTAATTGAAGGTGAGATATATATGGGTTGTCTGTATTGTTTTGGGTGGGAAATTGGCTTATGTCTATATTCCAAGATTCCTACTGCGGGTTGCTTGTTTGTGTTCCATATTTGGTTGGATCTAACTGAAGGATTTTTTGCGGTGTGGTTTATCAACTAACGATGTGTTTGGCTTTGTATTGATTTGGTATGACTTGTTTCGGTAAATTAGTATTATATTTCGAGTAAAATACGAATTTTGTCCATGTGGGTTTGCAAAATTACATACCAGCACATGCATTTTGTATATAATCCAAGTGGCAGTTAATTTTGGGTGTTACTTGGAGAAAGTAACCCAACGAACTCGATACTTTATCTCCATGCCGATTACTATATGAATTACGAGTTACGAACAGGAGTTGTGAAATTATTTCATGTTAACTATGAAAGTATGGGTTTATTGTTAGTCAAATTATGGTGGGCCTATATCGACAGCAACGAAGCAGTAATTTAAAGTTGACAAGTTGAAGAAGAAAATCAAGCAATTGTGGTATTGGTTCGAATGCCTGAAAAGAATGAAGACTTCTTTCGATGAACTGATGGTAACAAAGTAGAAAGTAACAAAATAGAAAGTACAAAGTAAGTTGTTGTGTTGTTGTGTTGTTTGTAACAAAGTAGAAAGTAGAAGGGAAAAAACTACTCAGAAGTTGCAATGTAGAAAGTAAGTTGTGTTGTGTTGATGTCCTCTCTCTCTGCAAACATTATGCCCTTTATAGCTATTATTTCTCACGACCCCATGATCTGCCGATTCTGCAACTGCTTCTGTGCAACTTATGTAACTGCATGGTCATTTCCGTGTCTTCAAACCACATAAAACCTTCACTTGTACCTGTCGAAGTGCATATAATTGAAGTTGCCACCAGTGCCCAAGTCCTTTTAGCCTTTCCTCGACAGATACAGACTCCCAATTCGTTCATGTTTCCTCTTGGAGGCTGGCCACTAAATCCATAAGCACTGCCAGTAAATGCTCCAGCGTGTAAGTCAGGTGGTATGCAAGATTCAATGTTAGTTGAATGGAGCAACTGTTGGGAGGATGTGGCAAAAATAGGTGCAAAGAGGAATTTTGAATCTAATATCCAATAATAATTTAGCTGAAAATATGAGTGAATTTTTTTTAAAAAAAAGTAGCTTCGGTTTTTTTGATTACAAACCCGAAATGTATATTTTGTTTTTTATGTAAATAAGTTGTGTATTTTCGTTACGTAAAATGTAGGACTACAATTGTGTTTAAGTCATTACAATACAGAAAAAGGTTATTTCAAACATAATTTCAAGTTTACCAACATTGAATATATTTTGATTAAATTACAGGGGAAATTAATATTTGGTAGAGTCTGATGATTCAAAGTCAGGGCAGTAACAGTGAGTGGCCAAGTGTTGTGGTTCAGTGGCCCAGTTTGCAAGGATTGTGGTTGTGTTTAGTGGACAATATTTTGTCGATTTTTGTCTCATAATGATGAGGGACATGCCCCACAATGGTGAAAAGGAAGGTCGACAGGGAAGAGTCAATATTTGGCAGAGTGGACTTGAAAATTCGAAGTCAGGGGGCAGTTACAGTGGCAGTTATGGTGTAGACGTGTGGGATCATGCAATGATGAGCCACAAAAACAGTATACGGATATCGAAACGAACGATCTCCTTTCTAGGCTTTCCAAGTATACTAAACCTCCACTTGTATCTGTCGATCTCCCTTTTCTTGTGTTTATTTCATGGCCACCAACTGTTTGAAACTTCTGTTGACAGAGCAAGGCTCCTGCTTTGTCTCATGCTTCCTCCTGAAAGTGTGCCCACTAACTCATAATGATGAGGGACATGCCCCCGCAATGGTGAAAAGGAAGGTCGACAGGGAAGAGTCAATATTTGGCAGAAGGGACTTGACGATTCGAAGTCAGGGGCAGTTACAGTGGCAGTTATGGTGTAGACGTGTGGGATCATGCAATGATGGGCCACAAAAACAATATACGGATATCGAAACCAATGATCTCCCTTCTAAGCTTTCCAAGTATACTAAACCTCCACTTCTATCTGTCGATCTCCCTTTTGTTGTGTTTATTTCATGGCCAAAAGCTGTTTTAAACTTCTGTCGATAGAGCAAGGCTCCTGCTTTGTCTCATGCTTCCTTCTGAAAGTGTGCCCACTAACTCCATGACTGGTGCTAAAAACTTCCCCCATCACTTCTAGGTGACCCACATGCAGAGAGCCCACTTTGAAGTGGTGGACATTCCTTCAGACTTGGCCATGTGTCCTCGATTAAGTGGACCATCTGTCGATAGAGACTGGCAAAACTTGGTGCAAAGAATGGCCCCCTTGTTCAAGTTAAATATCATATGAATTAACCTTGCGGAAGTGATTGGGACCCCTGAATTAACCTTGCAGAAGTTATTGAGACCCCCTCCAATCACCCCCCACCCCTCCGGCACACACACACACGTGGGGGCTGGTGATTGGAGGAGAAAGAAAAAAAAAAAAGAAGAATTTTTTTTTTAAAACTGGCCAATCAGAGAGATAGGGGGTCATAGGATGGCCCCCTTGTGGGGGTCCAAGTCATATGATATTTAACTTCAACGAGGGGGCCATTGTTTGGGCCCAAAACAAGCATAAAGTACAGCCCAATATAAGAGCTTTTAAATATACTGGCCCCATCATAAGCTATAAAAGACCCACCCTTTCAACTTCAAACCACTTCATTTCCCTCTGATTCGAACTCCCCAGACTGTACTCCTTCTTCTCAACCATTGCCGTTCAAAACCAGAGCACCACAAAACCCTAAGCCATGGCACCGAAAAAATCTCAACCATCTCCATCTGAGGAGAACAATGAAGACCTACTCCGCTTCCCGGACCCTATCAGAGCACTTATCGCTCCTCTAAAATTTGCTGCAACCCTATTGCCCAGCACAAGCTCTGTCGCTAAGGCTACTCTAGGCCCTACCTTTGCGTCTTACTTCCCAGACGAGCTAGCTCCATACTATCCCCTTGGTAATGGTGAGAACCTTCTTCTCAACCAACCTGGACTTAAGTGGACTAACTTGAATGTCAGCAAAAACCCACTCAGATCGTGGAGGTCACCAGACTCTGTTTAGCGAAGCTGGGCCAGGAGAATTGAAGGTCACGACGGTGAAGTATGGAAGCACCAGGGCATTAGTGAAGCAATTAGGCTGTCGACTAAAAATTATGACATGGACAAAGGGCTGATTACTGCTGCTACATGCTTTTGGTCGCAATCTTGTAACTCCCTACTCCTGAATTTTGGTATGATTTCCCCTACCATCTTAGATGTAGCTCACTTGACTGGTCTCCCAATCTTGGGCAATCCAATTCATGCTCTCCTTGAGCCTTCAAAAGTGAGTTTTACTTTAAACACTGACATGTGTTATACAGATTTTGCCTAAAAATACAAAGGCAAGCCTGGTTCCCCTGTCCACGACAAAGAAAGAACTGCTTTTTACTTACTTTGGCTTTGTGA